AAATCTTGACCCATAGGCTACAAGAGGTAAACTGGGTCACTGGGTGTGGCTTGAGCATTTATGATACCCCAAATCCACCCCCACAATGACACACTTCTTTTAACAAAGTCAAATCTCCCATAGTGCCTCTCTGTATGAGCTTATTTTGGCCAATTACATTGAAACTACTGTAGCATCAATATTCAATCATTCTTTACATACCCACAGGCAGGTGACCAGTGGTCCAACACAAGAGACTTCGGGAAACATTTCAGATTCAAACCATGACATTTATTAACAAAGTTAGAAACAGTGCTGGGTTAGTTCTGTCTATGTGTGGAGTCTGGTACATAGAAATGGCTCAGCTCCCTGTCCTGTTCCAGTGAAGAAAGAGTCCCCTCCTCTGCAACTTTATCTAACTTCATTCGGGTGGCCTCTCCAGTCAATGGTGGCCTTGACCATGACTTGACCTCCACATGAGAATGAGATTCCCATTCTTGGATTTCCTAAGTATGAAAGAAAGACACATACTATATGTTTTCAGGACTCCATGAAGAACTTTTCAATGGTCTTGATCTGGAAATGGTCAGCACCCTACACTTCCTTCTTCACAATCCTTGCCTGGAGGTAGAGCTATGCTAAGATTAAACTGAGTCATCCTTGGCAGGTCCAATGTAAATGAGAAGGCCACTGAGTGTACTGTGAATATGTGAGAGTTCTCTCTCTCTCTCTCTCTCTCTCTCTCTCTCTCTCTCTCTCTCCTTGTTTGTTTGTGTTCTGGGAGTCAGTAAGTACAATTCTGCTTACTGAAGTTGAACGATACTTTGTTATGAGAGTTTAAGTGAATCACACCAGGGCAGTCAAACTGTAAATCTCAATAGCTTCACAGAGGGAGATAGAGAAAAGGAAAAGAGATAACTATATCTTTTGAGTTGGAAATGGAGTCGATGATGTAGCCACAGGGCTGACTGTAGTTTCAGAAAAAGAAGAAATTTGAAGGCATCGAGAAAATCATGCCCAGGGTATATGGACTTTTGTAATGTCTGTCAATACCCAAATTATTGTTTATATTTTATTTTGCATGTATGCATGTTTCCCTGCACCTATATTTGTGTGCTGGTGTCTGTGCAGGCCAGAGGAGGGCAGTGGATCCTTTGCAACTGGAGTTACAGTGTGAGCTGCTGTACTGGTCCTGGGAATTGAACCCTGATATTCTGGAAGAGCAGTCTGTAGTTTTACCCTTCTCTCCTGCCCCCATCTCTTCAATTGTTGATGCAGGAGCCCCAGAGAGACTGGAAAGACAACACATCAAACTTTTTAGCTATGTATTTAATCCCGTAGCCAAGTAAATCACATGTAGCTCTTTGTTTATTACACTCATAGGCACTTTTCCAGTCTGGCATCTGCTCGGATAGACATGTTTTCTGAAAGGCTTCTCATCTAGTGCGCTGAGAAAGAACTCACCTGTTCTGATTCTTAGTGTGAGGTTAAGCATCTGTATCCCTAACGAGTCACCGGTGACACTATGCTCACTGTTACTAGGTGCCCACCTCTGTCTGCAGTGAAAGCTGCCTTCCAGGGTTCAGCCAAGTGCCCAGGCTTGGAGCACCCCAATGCTGTTTTGATTGCAATCCCTGCCCCGAGGGACAGTTTGCAGACAAAAAAGGTAAGGACATGTAGATCTGGAATACGAGGGACCAAAGGGAATTTTGAGCCTCCTGTATTTCTCCATTGTCTTAGTTACTGTCCCACTGCTCTGAAGAGACACCATGACCAAGGCAACTTCTAAACGAAAAGGCTTTACCTGGCAGCTTACTTAGTTCATGACCATCATGGCAGGAAGCATGGTGCCAGGCAGTAGCTGAGGGTTTCCATTCTGATGTACAGGCAGCAGGCAGGCAGAGAGGTGGAGAATGGGCCAGGTGTGTGAGTCTGAACTTTCAAAGACTACTCACAGTGACACCCCTCATCCCAAATGTTCCACCTCCCTATCCATCTCCAACATCTACCAGGTAGGAAGAAATCATTTAAATATCTGAGACTTTGGGGCCATTCTAAGTCAAATTCCCACACCCATCCTCCAAAACACCGCACAGTCCTTGTTGTCCCATGGAACACCAGCCAGAGCTCTGCTAAGAGATATTGTTAGGTAAATGCTTTATCCTAAAAGACAAGCGTGCTACCCATAATTAGAATGCAGAATGAATTCTCCTCTATCAAATGCTGCACATCCTTGACCCCTGGTCAAGAAACAGGCATAAACTGCTTCCACAAGCTTCTAGTGGTCGTGTAGTCAGAACCCTAGATTTGCTAACACTGATGATTTCACTTGCTTTTCA